CAGAATAGTTATTTTTTAATTTTAAGTTGAAAAATTTAATGAAACAGTAGTACAGTTTACAAATAAATAATTCTTTTCAGATTCTTACACACCTCCCAAACAAATTACATATACATATAAACAATAAACATCAGAATGGTAATTTTTTTAAACATTAATACTGTTGTATAGCATAAAAGTGTAATTACCGACACGAAACAAACTGTATTTACATAATATTGTACAATAGTAATTTATACTTTACAGAACAATTATACAGTAATCATTAACCCTCTTAGCACGGATGGGCCGATTATCGCCCGGCAGATATCTGGCCAAAAACACGGAACGGCCGATGATCGGCCCGATCGTGTTTTGCCTCGAACCGCTAAGAAATCTCCTACTTTGAAACACTGAAAGTGATTCATTTATATTAACTGCTGTATCAGCTTTACACATGGCGACTTTCGAGTGTTTGGTATCGAAGTGAAAATTGTTGTTGAATTTTTTAGATAGTGACCTGAACAGCTAAAAGTATGTCTGACTCGTATGTTTCTGCCCCTAAACTTGATGTTTATAAAACATTTGAATAAAGTGATACACTAATTCTGTTGATACTGATGCAGGATTTAGTGTTAATAGTAATAGTGGGAATCAGATGGGGACGCTGTTGTGTTCAGACCACAGCCCAACCATGGCTCAGGGTATATCCACCCGAAGGTGTTGACACTCTGGCACATCCATTTCTTGTGCTGACTGATGGTGAAAAACACATGTCACCTAAAGATATTATTGCTGTTTCACATATATATACCAGTTTTTGACTATTGAATTGCTTACAACATTTGTAAAAAGGCCAAAGATCAATAAAAAGATTTCAAATAAAAAAAAAAATTTTGTTTTTAGTTTTATGTTTCAAGCATTGAAGTTGAAAATTCAAATTCATATTTTTTATTTTTAGAAATGCAAATGAGATAATTTGCATATACATTAATTAATTTTAACGATATTGTGAAAATCACGAACTTCAATCTATATCCTTCAAATAGATATATTATTTCATAGGGGTCAGAATAACAGAAATCTGTCAAAAAAATTAAATAAAGTAATAACCAAATTCACTGAAAAAATGCTCCGTATTTTTGGCTAGACCTCTGAAAAACTTCCTGTGCTAAAAGGGTTAAGCATAATCAAAATAATCATAAATAAGGTTGTTTTTCAAATAACTAGACACAAGGTGAAAGAGCTACACAGTGCTGCTGGGAGGCATGGGAATCACAGTTCATGGTGATGTTGTTACGTATAAGTAACAAGACTAGCTCACATTAAAAAAAATCTGAAACAACGAGAGCATGAATTTTCAAGACTATTGTTGTTGCCATCTAATGTTTTTTAATGTATTTTTTGTCTTTGATGCTCAGCTCTCAGTCTATCTTTTCTTCCTTATTTCCATTCCTTTATTGATCTTGCCCTCTAAGCAACACATCTTTGTATTGTAGTCAAGGCCATCCTCAATATCTTTTTCCACTCTGTATTTAATTTTTTTTAAATATTTTTAAAATCAATCAAATTATCAGTGTTTGTACTGAGCACCAAGGTTGCAATTTGTTGTTTCTACATCACTGTGTTGCCTATTCTGTATTCTTCATTTCCAGGATGTTATTACTTCAATACTGTCTATTCTAAAGTTTATCTTGGGAACAAGTCTTTTAACCTTTTGGAACAGAAAATTATAGCTTTGTAATAGAATAACTCACAACAGTCATACCTGAGACAGAATGGGTTGGGAAAAAAAGTTAGAAACCAAACTGGGACAAGAAAAGTAATGTGATTGACTGACGTTCAACCCCACCAGGACATCACGCCAAGTGATAAACACCTGGTGACACAAAGGGCCACCATTCAGATGAGAATCACCCAGGGACAGATCCCAGAAACATGTTCAACCCACAAGTTGGGTTGTATTAAGTATCCCAGCAACAGCCAGGGTGGGGTTTAAAAATAATGAAAAATTGCATCCCACATGGGTAGAGCATATTTTTGAAGTACTGTGTGAAAAGAGTCATCAGTAACTATATTGTGAGTTAACTGGTATTGAAATCTTAAATTAACACCAGCCTGCGAGTCAAAGACATCATTTTTAACTCTTAAAAGTCAAGAGACCAGTATCTGAAGCATACATTTTCAAGTGTTTGTGAGGGGATCACTTCTACATAACATATTGCTTACTTCAGTTGTGGTTATACATTTTTGGGATTCCTTTCATTGCCCCTTACAGTGCCCTTTGGCTTTGAAATTCATAAAAATAATTAACCTCCACCATATCAAAGTAAACTAAAAAATCAAGAAAATCAAGCCCTCACTTGCTTTGTCTTGTAAGAGTTAAAAACCTGCATAATTATCCTAGCTAGTTTTGTTTTTCCTTAACTAACCACCACTGAACAAAGATATTCATAGCTCCACAAATGAAGGTGTTTACAGTTTCAAGGGAAGGTGGTCAACTTCACTGTATCAAGTTTTATCCCATATGCCCTCATCTCTCTCCATAGAGCCACTGTTTTCTTACTTAGAGGGTCACTCAACAGATGAAACTCCACAGCCCCAGTGATAACCCTCAGTGGTCTCTTGAACAATTGCACTTAGGAATTGAAAGATAGAGCCTGATACTAAATGATCTTCAAAGCATGAGGTAAAAGGCCAAACCACTTTACTAGCACAGATACTTTTTCCAAAGCTGTATATCATATTTTTTTTTTAATGTAACCTAATTACAATTAATTGACATCATTTCAGAGAATCACTGTGTTATTCTTCTTCTTTCGTTTGCTTTGTTGTTGATAGGAACATTTAGTTTAAACAGTTATTCCATATATCTTGAAAAGTTATTAAATATTTTGAAAACAGTGGGACAATGTGATTGGGTACTGTTGTAGCAAGGATTTGCATAACCATGGGTTTTCAGAATGTTACGTGTTATTAGAATTCTTCTTCTTCAGCATTTTAAGCCCTTGAGTTCACTGCTGCAGATATTACCTCCCTGATCTCATCTGTGTGCCTGATCTTCTCTTTTTAACTGGTAACTCCTAGGGTTTGTAGGTCTTCCTGAAATATTACTTCTTCACTATTTCATTGATCCATCATGTAGTCTATGGCCATTCAACTCTTGTGTGTATGCAGTTTTTGCCTCTCTGTCATTCTCTATATATGCCCAGCATTTCAGTCTATTAGCCCCTATGATACCAGTTATTCATGATGATTTAAACAGTTTATGAATTATATTGCTGCTCTCACTCTCAATTCACAACTGTTTGCATCTTTGATGGGTCCAAAGATTCATTGTAAGACTGTTTTCAGAACATATTAGAAATACAGTGATGTAATATGTGTCATATTATTATAATAGCTGGAGAGAATTTTCAATAGAGCATGGGCAGAGAGAAAGGTACCAGTGGATTGGCAAAGATCAGTTGTAGTACCTATCTGGAAGAAAAAAGGAAACAAGAGAGAATGTGGAACTTATAGAGGAATATCTTTACTAAGTCATGTGGGGAAAATGTATGCAAAGATCTTAGAAGGTAGGATAAGAGCAAAGGTTGAACCTCTACTGAGTAAAGCACAATTCGGTTTCAGGAAAGGGCGAGGTTGCACTGATGCCATATTTGCACTAAGACAAGCCTGTGAAAAGACACTCGAATACGATAAAGAGTTGAACGTGGTCTTTGTAGATCAAGAGAAGGCATTCGACCGTGTAGACAGAGATGTGCTGTGGAGAATTCTTGACGATTACGGAGTGCAGGGTCAATTATTAGACAACATCAGAGCCCTCTATGAAAAAAGTGAAAGTGCAGTAAGAACATCTAGTGGTCTTTCTAAATGGTTCAAAGTCACAACTGGTGTCAGACAAGGATGTGTACTGTCACCATTACTTTTCATAACATACATGGATAAGATCACTGTAGAAGCAAACCCAGACGTGTATGCTATAAACGAATTACTTTTTGCTGATGATCAAAGCATACTGTATCAAAATGAATATGATCTACAGGAACATCTGACTACTCTCAACAACAGCTGTTTACAACATAATATGAGAATCAGTACAGAAAAAACAGAAGTTATGAAGATCAGCAGAACACACAGGCCACTGAATATAAATGTTGGAAGTGCCAAAATCAAGCAAACCAAAGAGTTCAAATACTTGGGCAGTATATTTACAGTGGATGGAAGAATGGACAGAGAGATAGAATCAAGAATACAGAAAGCAAATGCTGTCACATACCAACTATCACCTCTGCTTAAACATCCAGATATAACCATGAAGACCAAAAGACAGTTGATAAACACCATCTTCATTCCAACACTCTGCTACCAGTGCCAAACATGGACAATCAACAAGACCCATGAAAGAAAATAGAAGCCTGTGAAATGAAATGTCTAAGAAAAGCAGCGAACAAGACCAGACTAGACAGGATAAAGAATATAGACATTAGAAACACTGTCAAAACTACGCCATGTTTAGACTCCATAGAACATCAAAGAATTAAATGGTTTGGACATCTAACCAGGATGAAAAATGATCAAATAACATCACAAGTTTTCAACCAAAGAAGCTCAGGATATAAGGCAAGAGGAAGACCAAGGAAACGGTGGATTGACGGGGTCTCCGAAACCTGCCAAAAGCATGGCCTCAGAACATCAGATGCTGCCCGCCTTGCTTATGACAGGAACTTGCATCTCCCCACAATGCTTAGCGGCATACGTGGAAGGAAAAAGTAAAAAGTAAGTAAGTCACACATGCATGAAGAAAGAATTTGTTAACATTTTATTAGTTTAAACTACATTTTCCCCAAAAATATAAGTTTTAGAACTTTTAAAAGGTTAAGCTTAATGATCAGTAAAAAGGTGTTTAATTGGTTAGTATAATATAATACTTAACATTTCGCTGAAGAGTTCATTTAATTTTTTTCTATTCGTGTTGACCCCCCCCCCCCCTCCCCCACCCAGTTCTTTGCTCTGTCTTATTACATAACAATGCAGCTCTTTGCTGCTTCCTTTCTTAGATGCACTTTAGCTTCTGTCATTCCGCTGAACCTTTTCCGCTTGACAAATGATATGTCTCTCCCAAAGTTTGGACTGTCGCTGCCACTGCTGCTGTTAGCACCACTTTCGCTGCTACCACTGCTGGTGGTGGTGGTGGTTCCACTGCTGCTGCTGGAATTTAAAGAGCAACCACTCTTGGAACCAGCTGATGACAGGGCAGCAACCTCCATAACATCATTGACGCTGCGCTGTGAGCCCTTGGCTGAAGTTTCTGAGTAAACCAAAGCATTGATAAGCTTGGCAGTTTTCAGTCCCTGTAAAGTATGTAAAACATATTAAAACATATCTCAATATTGCTGTTGAAATACATCACCTCTTTACAATATATTCACTGGTTGTAGCTGTTTTAATTTAGCACTGAATATGTTTAGAATTGTTCATTAACTGACTACTGTGTAATGTGTGTGCGTGTATATATATATATATACTTGTTGTAGTTGTTTAATTAATTGACCACTCTGTAATGTTTATACTGACTGTAGTTGTGAATTAAATGAGCACTGAGGAATGTATATACTAGTTGTAGTTGTGAATTAACTGACCACTCTGAAATGCATAAACGTTTTGTAGTTGTTAACTTAACTGACCACAATGTAGTGTATATACTGGCTGTAGTTGTGAATTAACTGACCACTTTGTAATGTATACACTGGTTGGAGTTGTTCATTAACTGACCACTTTGTGTGTGTGTATATATGTGTGTGTGTGTATTTATACACACCGGGCAGCTTCAAATCCGAACTTATCTTTAGGTATGCACAAGTCCTTCAGATCTTCATCCTACGGTGTTAAGAAGGTATCTCATTGCTACGTAAGAAGTGTCTCTTGTGCACCATAGAATAATGCGCATGGCTTCATTTAGCACCTTTTCCAGTCTTTCAATCTGAGTATCACTGACGTTAAGTATGGCTAAAGTATATTTGATTGGAGAAAGAATCAGTCCCTGGAACAGTAGCAGAAGCAGTCTCTGCTCAATGTTGGCGGTGACCAGGACCCTTATTGCTGATAGGCCTTTACAGGCTTTTGTTATATACTGGTTGTAGTTGTTCCATTACTGAGCAGTTCATAACATATTTACTAGTCCTAACATTATTTGAGAGTGGTATGGCTTAGAGGTAAGGTTTTTGATACTGACTTGAGTGGACTGGGCATAAATAACTGTGTGATTGGGGGTGGGGGGGGGGGGGGTGGGTTTTTTTTTTTTACAAATATGGAGTTTACAAACAAAATAACCTACTATGATTTTGGTGTAGTGAATAGGATGTCTAACCCTTTTAAAAAGGTAAAAGTAAAGGACCCTTTTCCCCGCCTTTAGACGTATAGGGCATATAGGGCTCTAACCCTCTTAAAGCAAAAATCAAAGAAAGCCCATATGAAAGCTGCACTTAAAATGCAAATAAAGTAACAGCTACTATCATAGCACAATGTGTAAAATAACAGCTACTAGTACAGTACAAAGTAAAGTAACAACTGCTAGTATAGCACAATTTAAACTAACAGTTACTAGTACAGCACAAAGTAAAGTAACAGCTACTAGTATAGCACATGTATTCTCAATGCTCAGCCTATGAAGGCTCAGGTGGCTGGGTCACACCTCGAGAATCGAGGATAGCAGAGTCTCTAAGGACATCCTTTATGGTGAATTAAAGACTGTCAGAAGATATCGAGGCTGACCTCTACTACGATATAAAGACCTGTGCAAGCAAGACATGAATGATAAAGGTATTGAGCTGGAATGCAAATCCCATGCTGTATTTGTGGAAGACTTTTCTTAACGTCAGCAGGTCTTTCTCACTCTCACCATTACCATGGGCTGTGAGTCTCATGCCTCATCATAGCGCAATTTAACACTATCGTCTGGAAAGACAATAAGTATAACACAGAGTAAAATAACAGCTGTTACAACAGTGCAAGGTAAAGTAACTATATAGAACAAAGATAAATCAGTCTAATACCTGATCATATGTGACAAATGCAGGTTTCAAGATATCTGCTGGCATGGCCTTGATCTCGCCTCTCATGTCAGACTTGCACCCAACCAGCATCACAGGCATTGTGGGACAATGTTCCCTCACTTCAGGATACCACTGTCAGAAGACAAGAACAGAAAAAAACTTTATAACTGACTAAACCAGTCATCATAGTTTTGACATTTTTAATAAACTTATATATCATCATTAGAATGGCATTAGAATCCAATGGACCTCCCTCTCCCCCCCCCCCCCCCCACCTCTCCCCCTTCCGTTGTGAAGACCCAGTCAGTCTCCTCATGCAAAAGAAACAGACTATTATTTTTAAATGGTATATCTGATACAACAGACTGCAGACATATGTTCAAGAAATTCAAGATCGGAACTCAGAACTTTGGGTACTCAGACATGCTCTCTCTCTCTCTCTCCCTCTCTCTCCTCTCTCTCTCTCTCTCTTAATGTTGTAGATAGTTCCCAGATTTGGCTGGCAGGCATTCCAATAAAAATCAAGCTGTATGGATCAGTGAAAGACTTGCATCACACCACAGACTTCAGAGAGGCCTGTAGCCTTTTCATTTGAAAACTATTGACAGGGAGAAGGACAAGAAGAAGTTATAGAATGCAAAGGAGCTGAATCACAGGTGGTGGTGCATCGGGAGCAGGGTTTATACTGGTCTAGACTATCACCACCTTTCTGCATTCAGGCTAGAAATAGGATTTCTACCAAGAGTCTAGGCAATATAGAAAGCATTGACATTTTCTTTGAAGTGAGAGTGCATCTGCGTGAGGGATGATGAGGAACCAACAGTATACATATAAATAAGCCAGATACACAAAAACTTCAGCAAAACTCAAGTTCTGGAACAACAGCAAAGTCCAGAAGTGGACGAAAAAACCAGAATTTTTGGCCAAAGTTTACAATGGTGAATGTAAAAAAGGAAGGAAAACAAATCCTTTTAGAGAGGGATTTTGAAACTTTCCTTGTGCTCCCCAGTCAATACCGACTACAAGTGATAACATAAAATATGCTGGAAAGTAAAATAGACAGACAAGATACCGAATAACCATTTACTGGGTGCTGACTGGACTAAAAAAATATGAGGCCAGTACATTGTAATCAGAAGTCACGTTAGAGCAGTTATTCACTGATATATTGTTCGCCAATCAGGAGTTGAATCTGCACTAGGGTAGATTATAAAATATTGACAATGCTTCCCTTGTTGATAAACTTACAATGGAGCCAGGAAGTAAAGTCGCAATGTGGCATTGACACCCCTCCTCCTCCTCAAGTGGTGATTGTAAAGTAATGACAATAGGGCCTGATATGCAAGGCATAACAGGTCTGTTTTCCACCCTTTACTTACCATATGCTGAGTAAGCCTAAGTGCATATAATTTATACCTTTCTTCTTCCTTTATTACTTCTATACTTGGACATTTTCCCCATCTTCACTTGAGAATGAAGATTGGACAAAGAATCAACATTCAATGTGCAGAAGCAAATCAAGTACTGTGACAACTTACATCATTTTTCACACAACAGGATACCTTTAAACACCCAGGGAAATCTAATATGTATTTTTGTTTTGGTAAACCGTATATGACCAAGTCAAATATGGACCCTTACTACAACTAGTAAGCAAAGAATCATAGCAGAGATATATCAGAAAAGCTGCCGGAGTAACAAGAAAAGATAAAATTATAAGTGAAGAAATTAGAAGACAAGGGCTCAAACCAGGTTTGCATTTGATTAAAGAGCAACAGATGAAATGGTTTGGCCTTTTGTAGAGAATGCCCTGTTACCAACTGCAATAGACAGCCACAATAAAGAAATAAAATAATCACAGAGCAAAAGTAAGACCATGCAAAAGATGAAACGGCAACATCAAGAACAGCCTTAAAGTGATGAAGATCCACTTATGCAATCAATCAAAAGGAGCACACAGAAGATCATAAATTCCTCCAATACTTTAATGAGGTCACCAGAGAAAAAGAAAAGCAACAAGACATTTTCCTTCATTAACAGTAAAGTATTTTATGTTTTGCTGTAAATTTACTGTATGTAGAGTTTTCACAGAACTAACAAATGTAGAGTTTCTAATAAATAGGCATTCTACAAAAAGCATGTAATTTTAAAAAATTTGACAACACAGGTGTTGAAAAAAAAAATCACACCCTGGCCTATTTTAAGAACAGAATCATAGAAAAATATTCCGCTTATCAACTGCTTGCCAGATAGTGATAGTGTCAAAAGACCAAAAATAGCTCTACTGGTACTCAGAACTGATGCTGAATGTTTCTCACAATAAATGGCAAATACAATTATATAAAAACTCCTCATCCCCCCGGTGGGGTTCAGGGCTCCATTTGGGTGTGATGGGTGTGGGGGAGGAATAGACTATCAAGCATATGGTAAAAGTCGACCAATTAGGGATTTTTCCTCCAAAATCAAAGCGCATCTGCCTGAGAGGTGGGGAATCAAGAAGCTGCATACAAATAAGCAGATCAGTAAAACTGATGTGCACATACAGTTGAAGTTCTGGAACAAGACGAAAGTCAAGAAGTGGACAAACAACCATAACTTTTCGCTGGAGATAACAGCCAGTGAACACAGTATTTGGTGTGCGTGAATGTGTGTGTATGGTCCAATAGCACTTATTGCCAAAAAATAACTCTGTCACTGTTGGGTCTGAACCTGGACCACAAAGGTGGTCAAGCTTGCTAACCATTATACCTCTGCAGCTCCCATATATGAATATATATGCACACATGCATGCATTGAATTTATTTCTTGTCCATGGCTTAGCATCAGTGCAGTGGCCAATTGCATGTTTAGTCTTTAATCCCCTAGTACACTTTCCACTGGCAAAGAAAAATTATTTTACTTTTTATTTTATTTCTGGTAACTTTTGATTACAAATGTACCATTCAGTTTATGTCTCAAACAAATTCAAAAAGAACATTTGCTGCATGCAGAAATTATAACATGTGAAAGCTACCAGTTATTTGTACTACAATGCTAGCACACACATATTCTCAAGAGTGAAGTGATGAAGAGGAAAATATCAAGTTATACCCCTCCAGTGTAACTGTTTCCTGCTAATGTTTATACATGCCAAATTATCAAGCCTTGCCACTGCTTCAGTGTTTCTAACAGGCTTTACTTCCTTGTATTTTATGTAGATACCAGCTCACAAATGTTTCCTTTTATTGGTCATGGCATATGTCTACATGTTTCAGTCTCTCTTTTTCTCAGCCCTATACAACAGTACTGATTTAACTTCAGAGAGAAATATTCTGTTTGGTACTTCTGATTTCCACTTATTTCCTGATGTTATTATTAAAAATTTTAGTTCTCTTTGTATTGCCATTTTTATATCTCTGTCTGTTCTACCAACCGGAGTACATCATGATTTTAGGAAAGTTGTAAGGGAAAGAGGCTAAGGGAGACTAGTTAAAAAGAGTTAGTTAATCGACAGATTATTCTCATTTCACATTGAACCATTCAGTCCATAAGTGCTCGGATCCTGTCACAGTAAATCCTGCAGCGTGTAGTGGCTCACGACACCAGTTCTGTGTTGGTTTCCTATTCTTCTCTGGCTTTCTGCATAGTGTTCTTTTTTGGCCACACTCTTTTTAATATGAGACTGAGATTGAACATGTTGGACAGTTAGACATCATGACATGGATGATCATCTGTGTCAGAACTGACTGAGAGCACATGAGACAGAAAGTTAAGAATAGAGATGACCACCAACGCCACAAGACATGGGCTATAAGAAGATCCAGAAGAAGATCTCCTCTCCCATTTTGTCTTCATTGCTGCCTAAATAAATGCATGATTCACCTCTTCAAATGTTGTGTCACCAAAGAAATATGAGGTATTGCTTGCTGAATTTATTTGTTGTGTCTTTGTGTTTCCCCACTGTATTTGTAAATCCCATTTCAACTGCAAATAATTTTGCCATGTAAAATACCCTTGAGACGATCTCCTCCATGGTTTCCGGCTTGTCAATGGCAAAACATATAATCACAAGATCTGCCTCATTGTAAGACAGCGGACGGACTCTGTCGTATCCTGCATCACCTGTAAACAAAAAGAACCATACTATAATAATGTCTCTGTGTTCTGAAATCAGGTCTAGCGTCTAGAGAAACAGTACTTTATGAAAACTCTATACAAGTTATTCATGTATGATTAGCCAATACATCTACCAATAAACATCCTGCAACACACATTAAAAAAAATCTGATGTGAAATCATGAGAATATGGACTGATGACATTTAAGAGCTTCTACATCGACACAGAATGACAATAGCCATTGCTACCCCTCAAGCAAGGGATCACAAACTGTTCCTTCCCATAGCACTTAATGGATTATTTTAGTTTATAAAATAAGTAAGATAATCTGCACTGCATTCTCTGTACTTCAGTACTCATATAGTGCCAACCAACTCACTACATGTTTGTTGATTTCAACTGTCATGGTCTAACATACTGAACTCTCTGATTGACTTTCTATCCCACCAAGACATCAAACAAGCGATAAACACCCGATGATACAATGTGCCACCATGTGGGTGAGGATCACTGTGGAGAGGTCCCAGAAACCATGTTCAGCCTTTAGGCCATATTTATGGCCAGGCTATATAGCGGCCCCTGGCAAGAGCCAGAGTAGGGCTTCAAAAAACGAAAAATTTCATCCTAAAAAGGACGGGAAACAATGACCTAATAAATTGCATCATAAAAAGGACGGCAGTATTAACAGGGCTGAACTCTCTGTGATTCATCCAGTTTTTATACTAACCACTCGATCTCAAATCTGTTTAACTCCTCCTGTCCGAGAGTACTATTATTTTAACAATTCAGGTTCAGACCCAAATATTTATTAATTAAATAACTTACTCTTAGAAAAATACAAAGTTAACGGCTGCTTAATTTTGAAAGAGTTAAAACTAGTTTCCATGTTAAAGATACTATCTCTGATTTCTTTGTCCTGCTTGAGTTTTGCCTGAGCTTTTTCATAATTTATTTTATAATTTTGTCTCAACCAGAGGCGCTAGAATCTGGAGTCTTAGGCATATTCAAACCCCAAAAATTCTCAGGCCGAAAAAAAGGGGGGGGGGGGGCACACCCTTTTCTAGAAAACTTACAAGGGAGCTAAGTGGCTCCCCCTAACCATGTATAGACGTTCTTCTTTAAATTATTTGTTTATACATTTTATATTAGTATTTGTATTTGCCATTCAATCCTCTTAGTCCTGCCCCCTAGAAAATGATAAGGGAACTCTGCATCCATAATTTCTTGTTGGTGGCGTGCCTGCCCCAACCCTATTGATGATCATTAGCAAGAGGATGTTACTAGCATGACTGACAGATGTCTGTGTTTACAGACAGGAAGTACACAAAAACAGTCAGGTGAAAGATTTAAACAGTCAGAGCCGTTGCTGCAAAATACCAACAACAAAAAAAATAGTTGTGTGTGTGTGTGTGTGTAATTTATTGGTAACTGGAAGCCACCGCGGTGTAGCAGCTAGACGCTCGCCTGCGGATCGGAAGGTCATGGGTTCGGGACTTTTTAATAAAATAACCTTGCCTATCAAGACGACCCAACCTTGAATGGGTACCACACTTTCGACATGTTCCAAAAAGGAACAGCATTCGGTTTTCAGTTGTTGGTCCATAAAAAGATATAACTTGTAGAAATGCATCGGCAAATGAGGGATTTATATGCTGACGCATGCCCGTTAGTCCAACAAGTGTGTGAGGACTAGGAATTTTCAAAACAGTGCGACTTCTGTGAACGACTGTTTACCACCGAGTCAGGCACGCCGAGTTGTGGCCCCAGAGTCGATTGCAGCAGTTTTGAAACTTCCTACTTAGCTCATTCATTTGCTGGACTGACAGACATGCATCACCATACTAGACATTGCTTCGCTGATTAATTTCTCTAGGTTTCAACTCTTTGCTGATAAACAAGGACAACGGAACGCTACTCCTCTTTGGTGCATGTCAAGTGTGGGGCGGCCATCTTTAAGCTGCCATTATGACATCATCACATTAGCACATGGTTACTATAATTTCGGCGCTTCTTTGAATCGTTCCCCAAAATGGCGGCTGTAATATGATGGCGTTAAAAAAGGAGCTAAATTGGCCAATTTCTGGCCATAAAATATCCAAAAAAATCCAAATGCGGGGTCAGTTTTATTAAAAATATATGTGCCGGCTCCGAATAACGAAACAAATGCTCTGACAGGGTCTGGGCGATACGTTGCTTGCCGACCTGCTTCTGCGAGTGTGCCTCACCGCGTATCCCGTAAACTCGGCGATGAGTTTAATCGCGTTTGGCGCATGCCAACAAGTCTGACATCTACCGCTCCAATCGGAAGAACACAGTATTGCTAATCGGCTTTCATCGTCTGTAATGTCTCGAAATTGGTCAACGGTCGCTAATATCGTCTGCTAGTATCGTCGTCTGCAGAAACGCTCGAAATTTTTGTCAACGGTCGGTATTTATCGTCTGTTACTAGTACCGTGTGCAAATGTTGATATTGGTTGTCAAGTAATCCTAGTTTTGCCGCGATTTGTTCCTTGGCAGAAAGTCCGTATTTTAGATATACGCGAACACCGTCGTTCGGATATTTTTGGATATTTTATGGCCAGAATGTGGCATGCCGCCATTTTGGGGAATAAATCAAAGAAGCGCCATAATTTCTATCACACTATTAAGGTTTTCATTAAATGCATCCGTATTTTTTTCTATGAGCAGTGTGGCCATGAGACTAGGTCAAAACAACAACATTTTTTTTAGTTCTCTCGGTTAATAAAATGTAATTTACAGAACTGCTGAGTAAAGGGAAGGTCTTTAACAAATCATAAATTACGTATGATTAGTTTATGCCTACATAAACTAGAGACTTTTTACAATAAATGCATAAAGAGAATCCTGAGAATATTTTACCACACATAATCAGGAATGAAGAATTCAGGAGAAAAACAAATATTAATCACCAGCAAACGTTAGCAAAAAGGAAGATATGGTTGCTTAGACATGTCCGCAGAATAACTGACGACATTTTGACAAGGACAGCTTTCTGGTAGACTTCTTCTTCATTGTGTTTTGTGTCTTTTAACAACATAGCTGCCATATTTGCGCTATTTGGCCAACACCTCCGACTTTATCGGCATTTGTTCACCGGGTTAGCCTTTCCGGCTGGTTTCGTAGGACATAATGTGGCCTTATTTGTGTGGTGTTCTAGTTGTCACGTTACACATAGAAGAAGAAGAAGAAAAAGAAGAAGAAGAAGAAGAAGAAGAAGAAGAAGAAGAAGAAGAAGAAGAAGAAGAAGAAGAAGAAGAAAAAGGAGGAGGATCAGAAAGAAAAATAGAACAAGAAGGAGCAGGAGAGGAAGAAGAAAAAGAACAAGAACAAGAAAAGAAGAAAAAGAAGAAGAAGAAGAATCGTTATGCTGGAGTGGGTGGCACAAGGAACAATGAGACTTGGAGGACCTAACAAAATCTTGTGGACAGTATAAAAGGAAATGAAGGAATATATAAACTTACATTGGGATAGATACCAAGGGCAGAAAAGCAGCAAACTGACAGTAAGAAAGAACACATGCGAATTCTTTCAGTGCCAATAATGACATGAAGAAGACATAAATATACAGAATACATTTGAATTATGTTAAGAAAATATGGAAACAATTTTTGTTTTAACGTGAGATCGTATCTATAAAGGGCACATAAGCACAGAGCATTTGTTGCGTTCGCATCGCTTAACGGTTGATATGGGAGCTAATTCATCCTGTGTCAAACGTGCACAAATTAATTTGATTATAGTGTGATCATCTCACACGAACATTTGTTTCTCTACACAACGAAGGGCGTGTGAACACGAGGCATCAGCTTCGCATCGTTACCCCCACACATTCATTTTGCTGCCACACAGCTTCTGTTCATGCATCACAGCTATCTGCACCGAGTCATTATTCGTTCTTTGAATCCCGAAATGATCATATGCATATACGAACTGAATAAGCCATTTCTGGGCCAAAATAACACTTAAAGGGGGGAGAAAACGATATCTGCTAACAGTTTCACGTCAGATTAACTGTTTATTTAACAAGCCCCTTCCGCGCTTAAATAACGCTTACAAAAATAACATTTTTTACCAGTGGATTGCACGAGGCAATTTAGGCATACGGGCATCATTTGAGTATTTGTATAATTTATTGATAAGATTGCATAAAAAAAATGAAATACACAGCATGTTTGCAGCACTGAGGAGGTTATTATATTTTCTCATCATCGTTATTATCGAGTGCCATTTACAATAATGGATCTCCAAATCTCAGTTTCTAACTGAAGCTCTGATTGCCGATTTGAAAAATATATTCTGTCCACATCTTGACGAGAAGCAGAGATCAATACAAAATATATACATGGAAGTTGTGGAGATGTGGTTATATAGCAGAAAGAAGACAAGTATGGATGAATAAAAAGTGGGGATATTTTGAAAGCAGTTAATTCACAAAGAGTTCTAGTTATAAGCATCAGAGAAAGCCAGTCCACAGTCTCTGGCTACCTTATAAGAAGGAGACAACTGTTATATATCGGGACAACGGAAAAATGAGTGGGAAAAAGCCTCTCTAGATCCCATTGTGGGGGGGGGGGCAATAACAGACTCACTGCCCACGCCTCCCCAGCAAGCATGTCGCACAGGTCGACTTATTAGGGGTGTTTCCTTCAAAGTCGAGTATTTTTGCCTGAGACAAGGAACCAACAGTCTAAGCCAGATATGCAAAACGAAAGTTAATGAAAAACTTGAACTCGGAAACTAGACTACAATCTAGAAAGGACAAACAACCAGGGTGAAGGCCTACCAATATTGGTTGCAGAGGTTGGGAGTGCTTTACATTACATGAAGACAAGAAAGGCGCCTAGACCAGACATCAAACTAGGAGAAATTGAATCCTTGGGACAATTTTTGAAATAATAACACAATTTATTAATGACGTTTATAATAGTGACATCATTTGACAATGCACACTTAATACTAATGACCTGTTTGTAAAATCCATAAT